AAGGCCAGAATGATCAAACATTTCACATTCTTGAAAGCAAATGGCCTGAGAAACCAAAGTCTGGGGAAATTGAACTTATAATATTCCCTTGTTATAACCAGTCAAGGAAAAGATGATTACTTCATTAAAAAGATGCACATATCTTAGTCAGAAAGATTGATTATCTCTTAAGTTGTGACAACATGAACAGACTTCCTCAAGTTGCTGAAATGAAAGCATTCAAGATAAAGATATTTGGGCACGAATCAAGCCACAAGTACCCACGATGGGGCAGTATTGAGGAGCATAAGATTCAGATCAAATAGACTTTAAGAGTGCACTTTATGAATCAGCAAAGGTTGGGGCATATTGAAGGCCTATTTCAGTTAGAAATAAAATGTAGGGCATGCTAAAGGCCCATTTTAGTCAGAAATAAAATATGGGGCATACTGAAGGCCCATTTCAGACAAAAATGATCCAACCGAGTATTCCAAATGATCATATCAGTAGCATTTGTATTAGTAAAATGCTAGGGTATGCTGAACCCTTATCATCCTATGGAAAGATTATCGATTTGGGCAAATATTTTCACTGAAGCAGGAAGGTATGAAGAATGAAAATGGTGAAACAAAGCCAATCAAGTTGATCGTACATCACTGTTCTGTCCATCACTGTTCTGTCCATCATGTGATTACATCATCCCAACAGGAGTCATGAGAAATAATGAATGTATTGTCAAATATGCACTCACTTGTATCTTTATTGAAGTATCATTGTGATATCATACAAAAAGCTTTGAACATCATTGAGAAATCTAGATAGAAACCATAGGAAATGATGAATGTGTTGTCAAATGTTTTACGACCCAGTAATTATGGTGCTGAACCAATGTTGCAATCATGTGATTGACATAAAATGAAGTTTGTCTTCACACTCCAAGAATCAGAAATGAGAAATAGTGAAGATTTCTTTCCACAAAAAGAACGTTGGAACTTTAACAACAAGAAATTAGTTGAGTCAACTACGATTAAACATGATATGGTTTGAATAACCTTATTCGAGATCTGATTAGATGTGAAGACATGAAAGGAATTAGGATAAATCCTTTTATGAAAATATATGATTAGATGTGGAGACATGAAAGGAATTAGGATAAATCCTTCATGTGATATGTTTCAAGAGTTAAATCAGAACAGACGTGGCTGATATCTTGATTAAATCTCTAATGAATTTAGCATATTCATGTCTACATTTTGTAAATATGATAGATTCTCTTTTCAAAGACCAAAGCTTTACCAGATTTCTACACAAGAGAAGTGGGGCAACAAGGTCATAATTCTGAGTATGGCAAGAGTCCCATAAATGAAACAGTTCTTCTAAAGGTAAAAGAAGATACAAAAATAAAAGATGATCAGACGATTCTTTGAAAATGCAAGCTTGAAAGCATAAGTAACTACACTATTGATTGAAGTGAACCCTGAAAAAAGATGATCAAGTAGAAGAAGATCAAACTTCGGATTCGGATGAAGATTAATACAATCATGCATTCATAAGAACATTATTTGCATTAATCATACATTTCATTGATATATTTGATTGCATTTACATAAATACATTTCATAAGAAGATGCATGGACAATACACCTTACGAGTATAAGGTAGAATCCAAATTCGAATACATGAAACATGATTGGAGAGGCAAACATCTTAAGAATAGATGAAAGCAATCCATACAGAGGAAGTATTGAGGCATGCCCAACCAACAAGTTGTTTGAAGAATGATAAAAAATTTAAAAGTCTCTCATTCATTGAAATTTTTGAAAATATCTCAAGCAAGATAATTTTTTCAAGTCAAATCAAACTTCACAGAAGAATAGTGAAGCAAAAGCAAGAACAAGACCAAAGTTTGAGTTCCACAAAAGAGTAGTGGAACAGATTTTTCAGCAAAGTATCAAACTCCACGGAAGAGTAGTGGAAGAAAATTCAACTTTGAATCTAATATTCGCGGAAGAGTAGTGAAATTAGATTCTTGTCAAGTCAATCATTTTCAAACTTCACGGAAGAGTAGTGAAGCAAAACCAAAAAACAATAACAAAATTCACTTTCCACAAAGAGTAGTGGAACGGATATTTCAGCGAAGTATGAAATCTTCACGGAAGAGTAATGAAGTAATCCAATGGTGAGTCTGATCTTCACGGAAGAGTATTGAAATTAGATTCTCAATTCGTTTTCACGGAAGAGTAGTGGAACAGATTTTTCAGCAAAATATCAAACTCCAAGGAAGGGTTGTGGAATAAAATTCAATCACAAATCTGAACTCCACAAAAGAGTAGTGGAACAGATTTTTCAGCAAAGTATGAAATCTTCAAGGAAGAGTAGTGAAGTAATCTAATGGCGAGTCTGATCTTCACGGAAGAGTAGTGAAATTAGATTCCCATTAAGACAATCATTCAGTTTTCACAAAAGAGTAGTGAAACAGATTATGTTCAAGACATACAAATTCGACCTTCACGGAAGAGTAGTGAAGCAAATCATTTGCAAGTCATCCTCATCCTTCACAGAAAAGTAGTAAAGCAAGAGCAAGATCAGATCAAAGTTTGATCTCCATGAAAGAGTAGTGGAACAAATTCCCAGCAAAGTAAGAAGTTCACTCGATGAAAACTTGTCTTTTTATCTTTGCTTTATTCTTGTTAACACAAAAATAAGCAAAGAAGGGCTGCTGTCGACACTAGTTTTCGTCTGAGTGAAGTTTATTATATATGTTATTATATTATATAGTATTATTTATATAGCCTGAATGCCCATTTATAACTTTGGAGGCCCAAATGATAACTCAGGAGTCGGTTACAAAGCAATTCACAGGCCCAACAACCAGTCCAGACCCATATCCAGTAGGCCCATGTGTGAAGCCCCACCAGAAGCTAGGGTTTCCACAACTCTTCTCCTGGGCTGTCAAAGGGAAAATGGAGGGTCCAGATCTCATCTAGACGAAACCCTAGGGTATCATCACCCTAGGGTCTATTCCGATCACCACCTTTGATGCTCCAACCGAAGACTGCCATGATGGTCGCCGCCTCTTCAGAGATATCTTGAAGATTCCAGAAGGTGAACGAGGACCGCACAACACATCAAGCTAGGGTGAGTCACCACCATAGGTCCGGTGACTCACCAGATCTCATCATCATTACACCGATCTTCAGGTGCTATATAAACCCCAGCCTTGCAAGCAATGACGACAAGAACAAGAAACATACAACAAAAACAAAAGCGCAGCAAGAGAGAAACAGAGACAGACAACAACAAGTATCCCAACAACCGCCAAGCAAGCAATGAAAGAGCAAAGAGAAGAGATAGATAGCACCTACCATCGCCAAAGCCCAAGGGTCGTCGGAAAGTTGATTTTACCGAAGGTAAAAATCCTAGATATAGGCTTATTGAAGGATTTTTACCAAAAAAGGGACTCAGATTCGAGATGAGGGTGTTTGGATCTATGTTTTGAGGGTAGTTTGGTATTTTTCGACCACCGTGGGTGGTGGCCGGCGGTGGTGGAGTTAGGCAGCGTAAGGCTGCCTGTCGGTGGTAGTTATCCCTCAGGTAAGGGTTTTTAGAGAGATGCCAGAGCATCTCTTGATTTAGAGAGAGATGAGATAAATGGGGAGAGATGGTCCATAAAGGACCGATTTTGGGCTATCTATACCCTCTCCCGAACGATGTCGTTTTAGGGAGGGTATTTTTGTAATTTTAGCATGTGTCAACTACGTGCGTAAATCCTACGGTTTTGTAAGCTTTACGATTTGGTCCTGAAATCAAGTTTTGCATTTTTTAATTTGGTTTTCGCATTTTTTTATTTTTATTTTAGTCCTTATTTTATTAATACATATATTTTAAGATTAAATCACATGTTTAGTCCTTACTATGTTAATAAGCTTATATTTTAGTCCCGAATTAATCTAGGGTAAATTAAATAATTAAGCTATTATTTTTGTTGTATTTCAAATAGGGTTAATTAATTTTATTATTATATTATTTCTTTAATCATTAATCATTAGTACAATTAATAGTAGTATTTTTTATTTTAGGATTATTATTATACATAATTTTTACTTTTTAATTTTAAAATTAAATATTATAATAAAATGATTAATATTTATGTTAAATATTACTTAGTAATTATCTATATTAAATTTGAATTTAGAAAGCAAGTATATTATTTATTGCAAAGACAATTAATTAATAAATACCGATACCAATTTTGGGCGTTATGGGAATGCTAATTCTTTTCCATACGTAACCGACTCCCGAACTCATTTTTCTGGTAAGCAGACCCGAGTTGTATTATTTTAATATTATTCTTAGGAATCTTTATTAAAATAATATGACATTTTGGTGACCAATCTCACCATATAAAAGATTGGTGGCGACTATACAATTTGGTATTTAATCTGATTCATGGATGATAAGCACTTACTTTTTTGAGACTAGTTACACCGTCTAGGGTGTACTATTTACACTCTCCGTCGCCAGGGCAGAGAAACGTCTCGACAACCATGCTTTGGTGCTGAACTCACGATAGAGATCATTAATGCCAATCGATAGTGCAAATGAATCTGGGCATGAGAATCATCAAGAAAAAAATATTGTTGACGACGAAAAACAAAAGAGAACCACGGCAAAAGTAATGAGATAGATGAGAATGGAAACAACTAGTAGCAGAAGCAACAGAACAACAAGAACAAAACTGGAGATCGGAAAAATCTACAAACTCTGCAGTAGCAACGACGTGAGAGTAAAGGACTCAATCGTCGGCACAATGGTGGAAGAGAAACGACGCCAGTATCATTTAACGAATGATCCCATGATGAAATCTTGAGACTCCGGCACAATGACCGGACATTGTTGAACAACAGTTCTTAATAGAGAAGTGAAAGACAATCAGTGACAACAAGTAAATGGAAGAGTATTAGGTTTCTTTATCAACCGTAGAAAATCAATTACAAATAGATTTTGCTTTAACCGTTACAATAGGAGGCTTATATAGCCGATTATGCCTTAATAACAAGCTAACCAAAGTGTAACCATATACGGCAAGACACGAGGAAATGTCGATCATGGACCTATGGTAACATAGCTATCAAGATCCTTGAAAATAAAACTAGATAGTAGTACAAGTAATTTTATTTTGCAGGTAGAGAGATGTGGAGTTATGCAACCGGAAAAGAAGCTTTCATGGCGATACCACATAAGCCACCCGGTGTATCGGCACCTCTTTGGATTCTCATAAACCCATTTTCACCCCACGTGTTTCCCCATGAATTCTTAATCACCCAATAGTTCAGACCACTCTCATCCGTTCCATATCCAACAATAGTGACTGCATGTGTGAGCCTACTGCTACATTCACCCGTAAACACTCCACCGTTGTAAAACTTAAAGTCCGGCCCACTGCCGTCGAGTGCGACTGACACGGGTTGATTTGCGACCGCCTTAAGCAGTTCATCTTCATTGTTTTCGGGCACCATTTGGTATTCACTGATGGTGGCGGCTTTTGTTGTCTGTTTCTCGAGGTCGCATGTTTCTTGCATTTCTTCGTATGGGTAGCTTTCTTCTGTGGTTATCCCTTGGTTTTTTTTTATGTAACTGAAAGCGCTCATCATCCATCCTCCATTGCAACCCTGGTTTCCTCCGTCTGTGCTGCAATCCAACAGTTGTTGCTCTGATAATGAGATTAGTTCACCGTTTTTGATTTTGATAATCCCTTCAACGGCTGCCACTGCTGAGAATGCCCAACAACATCCTGCAAACGTATATAATGGTGGAAGTTTCATTAAAATCAAAGGAGGGTAATATTAAAATATAAATTATATAAGAAGTTTTATTACATTTTAAATTTAGGGTAAACTACATCAAATATCACTGAATAATAGGTCTTTTATCGTTTATACGATTCAACTTTCAATTTCTCCAACTGGGTAGTTAAATTTTAACAGCACGATGATGTGGATAAATCTTTTGGTCCTAGTATGACGTGGATAAAAAGAAATCATTTTGGGGACGACCATAGATGCCCGAAGGGACTACGGTTTATGCATTAAACTTTAGAGGTGTATCGGCTTTGCCACTAAACTTTTAAACAATTCACTTTTTAACACTACATTTTTTCAACTGTGGTCGGCAGCCAATCATCGCCTGTTACCAATCATCTTTCGTGACAAGATATCGAAAATCATTAAAAAGTGAAGAAGTATTGTGCCAAAAATATTTAAAAGTTTAGTAGCAAAATCGATGTACCTTTAAATCAGTGTCTAAAACAACATCATTTTGGGCATCAATAGCTGCACCAAAACGATGTCGTTTTTTCAATACTATCACACCGTTTAGATTATAAATGCCAATTGACATAATTGAAGTTAAAATAAAAGTTATTATAATTGGATAAATTAAAAGTTAAGTGGAATAAGATATTTGCATGCAGTTCAATGGCATTGAAATATTTGGTGTAGTCTACTCGTAAATGTATATAATCTGATTATTTTAGATACAAATTAAGACTTACCGCATCTGCCCTGATTCTTAACAGGAGTGACGGCATCTTTGTCCCTCCAATCGAAGCTTGTGGGAGCATCCGAAAACTTTTCATTCAAAAACGATGTTGAGGTTGACACTGTGAGGTTGTCTTGCATGTTGTATCCTGTGTAAGACGCTAAGAATTCATCGTGTGTCATGTCAGCAAATTCATTGAGCCCCAACTTAAAAGTCCTGTTCCCGTCATTGTTGAAGCTCTCAATATATTCCAAGTTCTCCTTAAATATATCAAGACGCCTCTCCTTCTCCGAGCTGCTAGCATATTTTCGACCGTAATCGGCCATCCATTGCTCATATTGTTCAACAACGGCGGTTTCATGGATTGCTCGGGACATGACAAGAGATGCCAATGTCCCAAAAGTTAAAAACAGAAGGACATGGATTGAACTCATTGTTATGCACTACATGCAAAGATAAAAGAAGCTGTTCGGGTATCTTTTTCTTTGCCAATTGCTAAGTTGTGAAGAGCTAGCATTGGATGCATGCATATATATACTACAAAAAATTTGATTTAAAAATATTTTTAATTGAAGCATTTCTTTGAAATATCTCAAGTCAAGTCATTTCTTTGAGAGAAAAGTTCACTTTTTGTCTTGGTAAAATCCAAAATTGAAAAATAGAAGTCTAGTAAATATAATTGACGATAAATGTTATAAAGCAAAAACGTTTTGAAATATGTGAGTTGTCCTCTCTAACGTGGGTGTAGGGATGTAAAAAAGAAGAGCCGAGTTGGAAAATTGCCGAGTTAGACTTGATTAGAAATGTTTAAAATTGAGTTTGGTTCTTTTTGAAAGTTCGCGATTTTAAAATTTTTAAATTTGACTCTAACTTGAAATAAAAAAATTGAAGCTCGACTCGAATTCAAAAACTTTGAACTCTAAATATTCTCAGTATTAACTCGATTGAAACTTGAACCTGATCTCGATCCAACTCGAACTCAAACTCGAACATGAACTTTAAGCACATGAAAACCTCATATTGCATATTTTTTATAAAAATAAACAATATATAAAATATTATTATTAATAATAATTAAATTTAAAAATTAAAAAATTTAATATATCAACACGGAGGAAACTACCTCATTCGTTAGAATGATGGTTATTATTTCTAGAGGTCTCAGGTTCGAGCACAAATGACTACAGGGTATTTCAGCATTCATTGTCAAATGATCTAGAGTTTCTAGAACAAATAATATCACTTAATTGCCTTAAATTAATAAAACAAATTAACATATTATATTTTCGAATTGCTCGTAAACCTTTTTTATTAAATCATTAAAATTTATTTGAATATTAATTGAACTTTAATTGAACTAAACTTAAATAACTCATAATCTATCGTCTCTTATTCATAACCCTCCGCGCATGAATTATCTACTTTTTCTAACTTTTCTTACATTTTCTCCGTTTGTAGTGGAACACGATTCTAGGAAAACACGGAACATTAATATTAATAATATGTTTTAGGTTCTTTTATCAAAAAAATAATAAGTTCTAGGTTAAAAATCTTACTCTTTCTAAATTATTTGCACGTTAATTCCATTTAGTTTAATATAAAAAAAAAAACCTTAAGAATTTTCCCGTATTCTTTTCTTTAACCTAATTTTTTTCTCTCAATATTCTTTTGTCGTTTTCTTCTCTTCTTTTGTTTTTTGTTTAGCCGACGGTGGCACCAATCTTAATATTGGTTGTCGACCGCCTGTGATTATTCTTTTTCATATTATTATTTGCTTGTTTGGTTTTTTTTTTAGATTTTTTTCACTTTTAAATAAGAATATATATCATTGTGACACGTTTTTCTCTCTGCTCTTGTGACACGTTTTTTATCAGCTCTTGTGGTACGTTCCTTATGGTTTTCGGTAAGTTTTTTCGCATACTTTTGCGATCTTGTTGGTGCTTCCACAAAGATCCTCACGGTAATTGTTTTCTGATTGACTTGTCGGTGGACACGTATTGTCAGATACCCTATTTTGTAAACGGTTGTTTGCCGATATAATGAGAATTTTGTAGCGAAGCAGTCTGTCAAATTGTTTGGTTCACTCACCACTCCTTTATAACATTATAAATCGTCTCATTCGACAGAGACAAGTAGTTTTATAAAAGGTTACAAGATTGTTTTGATGTTTGGATGGTTTCATTCTCTTCGTATCTTTGGGTTTAATATGTTTATTTTATGTATGAGTTTTTTGTGATCATTGTATCCAATTTTCTCTTTAGATGCGTTGTAATTTTGATTACTCTAATTTTATTAATGAAATTCAGTTGACATTGTTAAAAAAAAAAACTTAAATTGCATACATATAAGATTTTGATTTATTAAACATAATTATTAGGCAAGGGAACGCTTTTAATAGGATGTTGTTAGCTTGAACCTATGTTGGGGGTGGAAATGTTGACAGGGTTGACCCGTAATTTGAGGAGGAACTGAATCATTGTTATGTTTGAGAATATTATCATAAGAGATGGATCAAAAATTTTATATTAGAGATAAATTTATAAAATTTTAAAAGAATATAAGTATATATAATTTTAAGAAAATAAATACAAATTTTTAATAAAAAATATAAAAAATATCTAAAAAATATATACAATTTTAAGTAAATAAATACAAATTTTAAAAGAATATAAGTATATACGCTTTAATCCCTGATCACGGTGTTGTATTTCAGCTTTTCTATTTGCATGCAAACGTCCTCACTTGGGAATTCAGACAAAGAAGTATTCTAGTAATTGCCCCTCGCGCGCACGATACTTCATTACTTAATTGGCGCACTAATTGAGCAAATGTAGTCCAGCTGGATTTGCACTAAATCTATTTTTCTGAATTTTTATAGTTCAATCCGAAAATATATACCTTCATTATCATATGTACGAACATAAAAATTATATTAAAAATATAAACGATGTGAAACTATAAAAAATTAAAAATATTAAATTAGATAATTAATAAAAATATAGAAAATATCTAAATTATGTGGAATTTAAAATTTTTAAAGGTAGGACTATACGTTTATCACAGTCTCGAATTCTCGGTAAATCTGTGACCTCCTTTTCTCTAAGTTCGATCCAAAGAAGAAGAAATGACTTTCCCACACAATACTCAGCTGGTGCATCTGATTGACCAGCAGGATGCGCTAATTTTTCCTTAATTTTCCTCGTTGGGTACATAGATGACCAAGATAGACTAAATTCTACTCTCAGTCAACTGCCTTTGCAAATTGCAAGAGAGTATGGGTGATTCATTTATTTGGGTGTTTTCTCTTATTAAAATTAACCTTTTCTTCTAATAAAAAAGTTTAGTATGGATTCAATCAAGCCAAGTTCACGATATTTTAAGTTAAATTTATGTATTAATTTAAAAATAAATTGTTCTATTTGATTTTAATTATTTTCAGGTAAACTACATCAGATACCATCAAACTTTAGGCGTTGTATCGTTTATACAACTGAACTTTCAATTTTCTCAATTATAGCACTAAACTTTCATTTCTGTTTTAATTATACCACTAAATCATTAAATCATTAACAACACGATGGTGTGGCTAACGAGTGCTGATGTGGTTGACGACTGTCGACATAGACACCTCACTAGAATGACATCGTTTTGATCTAGTTGTTAATGATTTAACGACTCAATGGTATAATTGAAACGAAAATCAAAGTTCAATGTTATTATTGACAAAATTGAAAGTTCAATGGTATAAACAATGCAACGCCTAAAGTTTGATGGTATCTTGTGTAATTTACCTTTATTGTTTTAATAGCCTGGAACGATTACAAGGGTAGTATCTGTTTATAATCTTCCTTAATCATTAATAACGCGCACACACACTATAAACTCAACTGCTCAAACCCAATACCTTAAGATAACAATATTCCCTTTAACCATTCAGACCACTTAATGAGTTGACTCAACTCCATCAAACACTCTTTCTTAGTTGAAGTTAGGGATGACAATTTAATATGAAACTGAAGGATTTCTACTTGACTTGATCCGTTAGGATAAGATTTTTAAAAAAAATTTGAGTTCGTGTCAAGTTGAATTTTATGAAGATGTGAGGTCGAGCCGGGTTTGAGGTGGAGGGTGAAAAAACTCCAACCCAACCCGACCCAAGGATAATAATATAATTTCTTCAAATAAATTTATGGATAATTGTTATAATACACATTCTCTCTATTATTTTTAATTAAATTTTTATTTTATATCATATTGGTTATGTCATGTTGTATTTATATTCTAAAAATCCGAGTTAGATCAGGGTCTAGTGGAGGATATATATATATATATTTTGGGTTGGGTCTAGTTCAAATGGAGGGTGGCATAACCATTTTTTAGAAAAAATTAAATATTATTTTAAAAAAAATTATGACTTTTATTTGGAAAATTGACGATTTTGAAATTGATTTGAATTAATTTAGATGGGAGTCGCCATCGACCTTTGGATTAGGTAGGTCGAATACCTAAAAACGCCCTTTAAAACAATTTTAAGAAAAAATCAGTTTTTAAGACAAAACTTGGTTTGCGTTCACCAAAAATTCGATTTAATGGGTCCAAGAGTCGGTTACGTGTGCGAAAAGATTAGCACCCCCACAACGCAAAAAAATTGTACTTAGTTGCTTACACATCATCGTAAATGGTGATAAGTATAAGTCGAATATAAAGTTAAAATATGATCCATTTATTGAAGTTTGATTAATTTGCTTCGAATTGATTATTTAAAGAAAATCCTTTAACTCGATAAGAAATCTTGAAATTTGCAATCCTCCGTCGGGAAAACTATTTCAACTATTCCTCATTAGTAAAAGAATAGTCTATCTTCGAATATATAAAAACGCAAATTGAATATAAATTGCATATCTACATTTTGGAAAACAAAATAAATTGCTATTTAGAAACATGCATTGCAGTGTTCAACTTAAAATAAAAATGAATTAATTAGCAAAATAAAATTGATTTATTCCAAGTTTCCATTTCGTTAAAATGTCGTATCGGATTGCATCACTTCGACCAAGTGATACTTTCCACGCTCATTCTACGAGTTGTGCTCCTGAAAGATTCGAATAATATTAATATTTAAGGAAATAGAAACAAATGCGATCGGAAACATGCGGAATAAAATATTTACAATAAATAGAGCTAAGCATATTTATTTACATAAAAATATATAAAATATATACATATGTAAATGACTCAATCATAACAAAAAAACATTACATATCAAATTACAAAGAACTAAAATGAACAAATTCTGTAATCTAAGGGACCAGAATGAGAATAACAGGAACTTGAAGGAGCTAAACAATAATTATGAACAAATCAGAGCCCCAAACTACATTTTAAACAAATACAGACACTAGAAATGAAAATAACCCATAATGATGTTGAGGACTAAAATATAATAAATAAAAAACATAAAAGACCAAATAATAATTAAACCAAATGCCAAGCAGTGACTAAAATAAAA